CCATAGTGAGGAGGATGCATGAGCCATTTCTAAACTATCACAGCCAGAAATTATTGAATACCTAATTTGTGATACGCCTTGTACCTGTGTGAACTGAGCCAGTCCTCTCAAGACACAGGATTTATAATCAAGTCTTATTTCACCCAAGAGAAGAATAGCTTGATTGGGCATGCCATTTGACCAAGGGCTTATGGGGAGTAGGTGCTAGGCTCATCTCATGATTGTAGATCTTTCCTCAATTATCTTACCACATGCTATTCTGATGGCACTGTAGGGCCTCCCTCAGAGAAAGTACTGAGTTTGGCTTTCATGTTGATTGTCCATTCCTTCAGCATATCCCTGCCTTTCCTGTTCTACTATTAACCTCAGAAGTGCAGTAATCATGTAAAACATCTTTTCCACTTCTTCCATAGAGACAGCATGGTGCTTGGCTTACAGTAAGTGTTCAATTAAAAGCAAATTTGTTGACTAGTTATGCTCTCTAAAGCCTCAGTGCCATGACCTAGCTTTTTAGGGCTGCCATCACAAACCTGCAGAGTCTGGTGATATATACGAGAACTTATTTCCTCTCAGTTCTGGAGATTGGAAGTCAAAATGAACATCACTGCAAAGTTCGATTCTTCTATCTCCTTGAGTTATACATAGCTCCCTTTTCTTCTTTCTGTGCTTATCTGTATTCTATTCTCTTTAGGAGGACCAGTCACATAGGCTCAGGAGCACCTTAAAAAGAGTTCATTTTATCCAATTTATCACTTGTAAGATCTTAACTTCTAATGTTGTAACTCAACATATGAATTGGGGATACTGTTCAGTCCAAAACACTCCACTCATGACAAGGGGAGTCTTTGTGCTTCCCACCTTCCCCAACCTGAGCACACCACACACACTCCACAAAAGCAGTAGGGTGAATATCATGGCTTCTCTTTGATATTGTCAAAGATGTGTCTACCTGGCTACTTTCAAATCAGACTCTGGAACTATTGCTTTCCTGATACTGGTGGACACACTCAGGACAACTACAAAGGATCACCATGGGCTAGTAATGTTGGAAAAGGAAGAGATCTTCAGGATGATTTCTTTCCCTTGGGTCCCTCCTGGGATATAACATTAGAGCCTAACACCCAAAGAAAAAAAAACAGAAGGACCCCCCCATGAGTTTTCTAGATGACAAATACTGTTTTCAAGAATCACACTTGTAGGAACTCCAATAATAAGAATGACTTCCTGCAATCTTGCCAAAGACTTCAAACTATGGGATTATTCGTTTCAACTAGTATGTGTGTTGATATTAAAAACAAGATACCATGGGGCTAGAGAGATGGCTCAGCAGTTAAGAGCACTGGCTGCTCTTCCAGAGGGTTCAGGTCCAGGCTCCAGCACCCACATGGTGGTTAACCACCTCCTGTTGAGGTTAATTTATAAAATGGTGGCACCCAGTCTGGCTTGTTCTTAAAGCAGCCGCATGTCCCCTACTAGACAAGGCCTGAGGCCAAGAGCAACAGGATGCTCCAGCTGCTGCTCAGCTCAGACCACAGCTCAGGACAGCCCAGAAACACTGGCCCTGGCACCCATGAGACACCAGCATGGGAGATTGGCTCTGTCTCTACAAAGCTTGGCTGAATCCCAGAATATCCACCATGCCCGTGGTACCCAGTAGAATGAAGACTCTTATGCTTAAAGATTATCCAATATTTATATATTTGGAAATGCTCAATTAACAAGATGCCCACACAATTAGAATTATTAACCCAATTAACTAACTTAGATATGAATTGTTACCCAGGACTGTTCTTGATGTATCTGTAGTTTTCCATGGCTGCTACATCTCTCCTCTCTCCTAGTTCCTCCTCTTTGCTCCTCCTCTTCTTCTCCCTCTCTCTCATCATTTCTCCCACATTAGCTCCTCCCCAATCACTGTGCTTATTGCAAATACTGTAGAAGCAGCAGGAAGCCATCCTGCTATACCTCCAGTTCCAGGGAATCTGACACTCTCACCCTTTTCTGGCTTCTGCTGTTACTATTCCCATGTGGCACATATACAAGCATGCAGGCAAAACATTCATACATATGAAATAAAGTAAAATAAAATAAAAAAAGAAACAAGAGAGTAATTTCTATTTGGTGGGTGGTACTGTATCTCAGGAACACAATGGGTGTTGCAGTCTGTGATGATACTTTAAAGCTGACAGCAAATAAAGGTTAGGTGCTCGTAGAACATCAATGAACTAGGCTTCAAGGTTCCAGAAGGTGTATAGTGCAGCATGCCAGGTCCCAGCAACCATCAGCACTGAATACTACTGGAAGTGGGACATAATATCCATAATTGGATTATACATTGAACTTGAAATGTAGTAAAGATCACCAGGGCTTTGTGTGGAGGCTCTATGAGAAAGCCTTTTTGAGGACATCATGACCAGCTCAAATAATTATTAGACATAATTGCGACAGAGAACATGGGAGTGAAGTCAAATGGCAGGAGGATGATATATGAAAAACACCA